CAAGCTTAAACGTGCTGCTGTTGTTCAGCCGCTGGTTTCCTCTTTCTGGGCAAAGGTGGCTCCATATATCAGTTGTTAAGCTTAACGCGGGAATGCTTTACAAACATTCAGAGATGAACTTACACATTTGCTTTACTTCTCTCTGGGATCACTTCCTCGGAGATGAAACACCGGATTGGTAGCGAGGCTACAAATACACACAGTCGCTCTATCACGTGATGCATACTGCTGCTACGTGCCACGGTTATGAGCCGAGTTACGCCATGTTGCAAGTTTTGTGAGGTGCTTTTTTGATATTTAATGGATCGATTACATTTTTTATTTCTCTCCGATATCCGATCCAGTAACTTATGTCAGTGTCGGACCGATACGTAATATCGGATCGGTCCATCTCTATTTATAACAAGCGTCTGGAGAGCGGAAGCAGAGGAATAATGCAATCATCTGTTTATTAATTCTTTGAAAAACGACCATCATCTTCTTTCATCTGCTCTAGTTGCAGTCTCCAGAGTCGTTTGCAAAGAGTGTTCAGGAGCTGACGATCGTCTTGCAGAGGACAGGAGATCCTGCCAACCTCACAAGCCTTAGACCACACCTAGAACTGCTAGCCAACATAGACCACAACCCAGGTACGTCCCTTCATTTAACACCATGGATCTCAAGCTTTTTCTGGTTTTCTTCACATGCCCCACACTCCACAGTTTGTATCATTTATTAACAAGAAAATAAGACCCAAGTCAGATTTTTGTGAAATAAACGGTGGGACAATAGCATCAGGTTTGTTCATTTGCTTCCCTAGCATCCTCCTCTGTCACATCAACCCATTGCTTGTCCTCATTCAAAATCTCTGTCTAATATCTCCACTCCCCCCATCTGCACATGTCCAAACCATCTCAGCTTTGCCTCTCTAACTCTGTTTATATTGCCCACCTTATTCAATTTTTTTTATTTTCTTTTATATATTTTTGTTTATTAGTTCACTCCATATTTCTACCCCTGGATATCCCCAGTGACTCCACCTACAGTAGCTTCAACACGCCACTGGTGTGGACTGCCACATAGAGAACAGTATTCATCCATCAATCCATCCAATTTCTTGCACTTATCCTTATGAGGGTCGCAGGAGGGCTGAAGCCTATTCCAGCTGCTGTAGGGTGGGAGGCAGGGTAACAGTATCCATATGGTTCTAATTATTAGGGTTTCAGAAGGATTGTTGAGTGAAAAAAGTGCTGCTTACATGCCAAAAGGCAAATTGCGAGTGCAAGACAGAGGGAAAGTTATGATTCATCATGTGTGCTAAACATTTACTAATCAAAACATAATGACTAAGTGTTTGATGTCTATTTGTCTTTTACATACACCCTCAGCACTCAGAAATGTATTCTGCACTGTGCCTCTCAAATTATTAGACAATATATTATACATGCTGCATTACTGCAAGTGGCTATATTTTCTTTGGTGTCATGTGGGATATTATCCCTCTGCAGTGCTGCTGCTGTGCTACAGCCAGCAAAAAACTGGAAGCTTGTGCTTTTCAAACAAAATAGTCATGTGACCTTCAGCTGTACAATGTATTTTGTGTTAATTATCAAATCTTGACATCTTAATGCACGAAGCCAAGATCTGAATGCTGTAAATATTACTGTGACATTTCATTATGATAGTATTTAGCTTTACCATTCCTCCTTTCATATCTTCTTTAGTTATTAGACTGTGTAGGAACGTCCAAAAAGATAGAAATAACTCTCCAGATGGGGAGAGTATTAATTTGACTTAATGGTAACAGGGTCTCAGTTGTTTATTTTATATTTTCAGTGGGCTACACTACAAAATTCTACTTGGGCTTTCTGTAATTTAGTTCTGTGAATAGCTCACACTTACATGTTTCGGATCATCAGACAAATTTAACAATTAGCCAAAGATAACCTAAGTAATCACAAAGGGCATTTTTAAATGATGATTTCATTTATCAGTGGAAAAAAGCTATCCAAACCTACCTGTGTGAAAAGTAATTCACCCTGCCCTGCCCTGTCGACATCTGTCATTCTGGAAAGCATCACAAATAATGTCCAAGGCTTTGGAACTTCAGTGAACCACAGCCAGAGTCATTATCCACAAACGGAGAAAACCCAGAAGACTAGTGGACCTTCTCAGGATTGGCTGGCCTACCAAAATTACAGTTCCACTTTTGGGTGGAACTGTTTTAATCCCACTATTGGGTTTAGGAAGCACATTGAGAAATATGGGTTAGGGCTAGTAATTCCACCCTTTACACAGCACAGTAGATTAAATTTTGTGGACTTCTAGTACCGTAATAAAAACCTCTGCTTAACAAACTGTATGTTGTCGTTCTGTGTGCAGATGCTTCCGCACCATCATGGGAGGAGCTCGAAAGTGTGATGCTGGCTGTAAAGCTGGTGGTTCATGGTCTAGTGGAATTCATACAGAACTTCAGCAAGAAGAGCCATGAAACTCCACAGGTACCCTGAGGCTAACAATTATAGTCGCAAAACAGATAACCAGGTATAAGGTGGGATGTGCTGCAAGTTTGTAAAAGACCATTAACATAATATATGTTTTAAAGAGCTGGTAGAGCTGTTAACAGTTAACAGATTTAGTTGAGAGGACTGAACCTCGTCTTTAAAAGTATAGCCAAGCGAATAGAGACTGAAATTGCCGTGTGAGTCTCATGCGCCTGGAAAAGCACTGAAATTGTTGTTGTAGGGAGACATGTTCATTATAGTAGGTTTACCTATGAGATAAACGTAGTAGTTTAATAGTTGGGTCTGTGCATTTTGCAGCCTCAGGCAAACAGCAAGTATAAGACCAGCATGTGCCGAGATCTTCGTCAGCAGGGAGGCTGTCCCCGAGGAACCAGCTGCACATTTGCGCACACACAGGATGAGTTGGAGAAGTGAGTGTGCAACTACATAACTTCCATTTTCTATGATTAAAAAAAATAGCATCTAATACATGTCCATTATACTGAATGCTCCTGTTGTGCATCCTTTACTCGATAGATTTAGATTGAGGAACAAGAAGAGCAGCAGTGTGGGCCGTGGGTTCCCTTTAGCGCAGGGGGGAATGAATAAAACTTTCACCATGGAGGGCAGCATTCACTCTGATGTGTCTGGAGGAGTAGGACAGGGGCTCAAAGGCAATGGAGACAGCACAGCTACCATGGCGGAGGGAGTACCCAGCCTAAATCACCCTCAGCTGATCTCCAGAGGGCTCGATGTGATGGAGGAATCTAAGCGAGCTGTGCCAAATGGAACTAGTGGGCCCAATGTGTCTGGCTCCAACAAAACCGCATCTGGGTCAGCAGAACAGTAAGAGTTGTTTCCACCTGTTTGCTGATGTTTACATCTTCTGTTGTTGGTATTTAACCCTGTGATCAATGTTAATTTTGCTTTAAGCGTAGCACTGCTGTTTATATGTCTAAGAGAATAACTACAGGTGAAAACTCTAGCACCATATGAATTTCCAACTCAGTCCTAATCTTGTACTAACTCTTTCTCTGTGTGTTGTCATTCGGTTCATTAGGAAGCCTCTCTCTCCTCCCAGGACTCCAGTCAGCCACTCATCAGTGATGTCTCCCTTGACCACAGTCGGACGGTCTGATGGTGGTGCTCCTATACCCAAACATGGTCAGTTTATTCTGCGTCCATCGCATCCTTCTCAGGCGTCCGAGGTGTACTACCAGGAGCCTCACTCCACATATGACACTGCCCACTATCAGCCAGCCTGTGAGTTTGTTTTTACACGAAGTTGGATGTGCAGAAATACTTCACTGTTGTGCGATAGGCGGAAAGTGCTCATAGCTTCTGTTTTTCTTCTTTTCCTCCTACTCTCCAGCAGGTTCCTATTACCCATCAAGTCTTCATCCCCCTCACAAACCTTGTATGGCTCGGTTCCTGCGATCCTCCAACGTCCCAGAATCCTCTCTGCCACCTTCCATTGGTCCTCCATCTTCTTACCCAAATGAACCTCAAACTCCACACCCACCTTCTTCGTCTTCCTCGGGGTACCCATCACACCCGCCTAGAGATCGAATGGGACCTCACACGTTCCATGCCCACCCAGGGCACCCAATGGGCCCTGCTCATGGAGTTTACGCTCCCCTCTATGACAGCAGGAGAGTATGGAGGCCTCAGGTGAGCAATCTCGACTATCATACTACCATAAAGTGTGGTAATTCTGCGACTTTATTTGTAATGTTGATGATTACATTTGCAGCTGTACCACAGAGAGGACGCCAGGAGTAACTCACTGCCTCCAGAGGTGCTGCATTCCTCTGTCTACCAACCTCCACTCAGGGAGAGGTTCAACTCTCTAGACAGCAACTACTGTTCTGGAGCTGAACATCGTGCAGGGCTACACAGGGTAGGGGAAACAACCATAGACTGTATATAAAAGACATACTTTTTGTGTTTGCATCGAAGCTTTGTTTAATCTATGAGTCTGTAGAGCGCAGTTGTCACCATGTAAACGTAAACGTTTCACCCACATTTGCGACTAAAAATAGACCTGCAATAGAAACGTCTCTCGGAGCAGGCATGTGAATAAAAAGTATGACAACAGCCCACACGGCCCCCACTTTTTAAACAGAAAGACTGATAATGCAGCAGCAGCAGCAGCAAAGACGATGATGTCATAATTTATACACACTCAGAGCAAAGAGGCAGAGCTGTTACCGGCACAGTGAGCTCACAGTGAGTGAAAAGAAAATGTTTTTCTAGCATCCAAAACAGCAACACTGCTACTGTAATCACCATTAAAATCTTTGCTGGGAAAAAGCTCAGATATTATGGAGGGGACTGTAGCTGTCAGAGAGGGGGTAAATAAATGATAGAAAAAAGCTGTAAATACATTTCATCTCTTCAGTTAAGTGGGCATATGTAGCGTGGGGGTGTACAGGAATTGGCACACTTTTAGAGCCAGCCCCAAGTGGTCTATTGAAGAACTGCAGCTTTTGGCCCTTTATCTTCCAACATATCTTCACCATTGCCGAGGGCAACACTCACTACTAATTGGCTGGAAAAATAAACTTTCCTCTTATCAGTAACATCTCGCTTAGACATTTAATTCAGTGGTGATATTGTAATTTCCCCCATGGCTCATTTGAAGAGCAGAAGTCTTTAAAATAAAAAAAATATATATATATTTGAATTATTGATCAGTGGGCATACAGAGAGAGATAAGTGACTGAGTTATGCTGTAATTAAAAAGTAGTGGTCCCTACTGAGGAAAATAATGCTAACATCCCAATATATCACATTACCTTATCAATTTTTAATTGGTGGTGGTCTGTGTTACACTGAACAGATTTATTGCTTCTTTACAGCAACATCTCCTCTCCTTCTCTTACTCTTTTTACACCCACATATCGCCTCACCTCTACCTTCCCCTTCAGTCACAGAGCTGCAGCATGGAGCTTCAACCTCCTTTATAGTCCTCCCACTTCTCACCCGAATATGTCTCTGCCTCTCCCACTCACTTGTCTCCTTCTCACATCGTCGTATAGCATTACCAGCTATACTGCTGCAGTGCTAAAGCGCACTTCACCGACAGAGCTACATTACCTGTCGTACATAACAAGACTCGTTTTGTAGGGTGTATTTGTGGAGATAAAAGTGAAAATGAGGAAATGCAGTGTAAAAAAAATCTGCAAAGAGCAAACAAACATGATCCCATCTGGCATTATTATGCGTTACTAAAAGCCAAGAAAAGAAAATGAATCCACTAAGTGCAATGCAACTCAGTATCCCCCCCACTTGCATGTACACATGATGAGGAAAACTAATAGAAAAAATAACCACTGTGAACATTTCTCTGACACATAAAGGACATTACATTATATTGCATAGTTATTTACAGTTTCCACCCTGGCTGCTACCAGTTTCAGACCTAGGCCACACAAGTGCAGAAGACTGCAAAGGCTGTATCAATACTACCATTTTGGGTTCAGATATATTATTATTCATATTATTCTTATATATGCTGTAATATCTCTGTTGATGTTTCCTCCCCTGCCCATCGCTTCCCTCTTCAGGACTACGGACGTGTTGCTCTAGGCTATGAGGATCTGTTCAGAAGGAAGCAGGAACAGTGGGCTCATCATCACCATCATCACAGTGCCAACAGACCCTCCCAGTCTTCTCCCATCTTCACCATCGATTTTGGGACAGAGGTATCAAAGCAAATAAAAGAGATGCCCATTTCTCCTTATTTACACACACACACACAACACTTTTAAGGGGATTTATTGCCATGACAAGTAAAACTGCCCTTCTTTTTATTAAATATTTATTAACGTGCTCACTGCAGGCGGATGAAGCTACGAAGGGGTGAATTGGTTATGTGTTTTAACGGTTTTAAATTATGTTGTTTTTTAATTCCTATCCCAAAAGCTTATGCTTCAGCTGTGTCCAATGCTATTTAAGTGGGAGATAGTTGCCTAGCAACTGTGGAGGAAGATACCATAGCAATGCACAATTGTGGCGTGTGTGTGTGTGTGTGTGTGTGTGTGTGTTTGTGCGGGAGAAAGTGAGAGAGAAAAAGAGAAGGCAAGACTTCACCAAGCAGTGACTCAGGCTTTCAGCGGAGTAAAGCTTTGTTTAAGAGTTTGGCAGATGTCTGTTTGTGAAAACATCCACGATTAAATCGACCACTTATTAGGTGCACAACTTTTTTAATTGTTTGCTTAACACGTTCAGTAAAATTTGAAAGACTCTGCATAACAAGAATAAGCAAATAAGACCAAGGAGACTGGCTGTCGGCGCAGTGATTTTTGCAAAGTGTCAGCACTGGCAGCAAGTGCAGAAATTCAAGTTAGTGAGTACATGTGGCTGCTATATTTTAAGGACGTTACTTTGCTTTTTGCATGGTCTTGGAGGAATTGAATCCCATCTAAACCCACACACAGGCTGCCAATCTGTCACAGGGATGACCAACACGCTCTCATCTCAGGGTGTCAAATACCGCCTTTCTGTCAGATTGCTGAGATATGAACAAAGTGTCCTTTGACTCACCGGCTGCAGCAATATTGTATGCTGGGAGATAACTGTTCAGTTTTAAAGAGTGACAAAGTCCATATAGGGAAGCAAAAAAGGGTGGGTGTGGTTTTCAGTTACCAATTCTTAAGCTTGGGAACAGTGGTTTCTGTTCTTTGTGTTTAGCACTTTGTTTTCATCTACACTTTAATTTTGCTCTTGGTTGTCAAGTTCAGGATCATTTGCAAATTATGCTAAAGGCTACTTAATGCCTTTAAGGTGGCCCTTTAAAGGTGTCCATATGTGGTGAGTTAAGACCAGCTTCTTATTGCTGTAATCAGGTGTCACACAGCACAGGTGCCAAAGGAAACCAGGCAAGGTTACAGTATTTAATGAACTGGGAAAGAGAATGGGCACCTTAAAAATATGTTAGCTTTTCTGCATGATTTATCAAATGCAACATATGAAATATTGAATATTTCATGGCATATTCCTGTCCGAAGATCAGTGGAGGAAAAAAAAGGTGTAGCTATTCTCCTCAGGTGCCTGAAAAATTGAAAAATAAATCTTAAATTAAATAAATAAATAAATCTCCTTGACCTTTGGGCAACTAAATCTAGAGCAATGAACAGCAAGCAAAAATCTTTTTTTTTCCTGTTTTTCTATCTCTCTCTTTCAGCATGTGGAAAATAGTGGAGGTCAGTGTGTGGGATGCAGGTTCAGAGGTGATGAAGGCTTGGCTCACTACTCCCCTTGGTCCTGTGGTACCATTGGGCCCTGCCTCAGCTCATTTGAGCCTGAAACGCTTGCGCACACCTCATCTCACGCCTGCTCTGAGCACTCGGTAAGGCTCTTCACATATACAAAAGGATCTATTGTTTATTGCAAAACACAGAATTTTTGGCTGTGTACAAATGTGTGCGATCGCTTTAAAATGTGCACGTGTTTTCCCCATGCAGGAGTTGGACAGTAACGAAAGTAGAGGTGGTGGCGTCGGAGATAGCGGTGTCGGGAAGCGATGGCTGCATTCGCTGGATAACTACCGTCGCTTGAAAGACGAAGACCCGATCATTCCCTTTAGTGAGGGGCCCATTATCTCGAAGTGGGGGGCCATTTCCAGGGCGTCCCGCACAGGCTACCACACCACTGACCCTGTCCAAGCAACAGCCTGCCAAGGGAGTGCCAGTACCACTCCCATCAACTTCAAAGGTGAGCAGGGATAAAAAACAAAAGAAGATATCGTACGAAAAACTCAAAAGGGACTGAAAGAGAAGAGAAAAGATAAGAAATGTTTAAAAGTAGATCAGTACCTTCTTTGAAAAGAGTTAAAGCACAATCTGATGTTTTTTCTTATATTGCTTTATTTGGTGTGATTCAGTTGTTTTTACAAATGTTTTACTTTACAACTCTTCATTCATTCATAGATTACAATGCTCACTTGGATCACAGTGACTACAGGTGGAGCTCCAGAGGATCAGACTCTTCCAGCCACTCTAGTTTCCTGGAGAGGTACAGCATTTACATTCAGACTCTGTCCTTCTAGTTTTTTTTCATTGCTGTCATGTGAAAAGGAGGTTTTCACAGGGCTAAGCACACCATTACTGCCTCCATAGGAATTAAGAGGGTAAGTCGCAGCCAGATGCTGCTAATCAAATGCACATGATTAACTTATCATCACCAAGCGAGACCACTGAGATAAATGCAGAAGTTTGGTTAAATTTCGGGAGCATACCCAGCGGTGGGCATCCCATCACATTTACCCCCATCACATTGTGCAACAGTCAGAGCTCGAAATCAGACACTAGAAGCCTCAGTTAGGATTTTAAAGTTCAGGACGGAACAATTAGAAGAAGACCGAGCAAGTATGGTTTGTTTGGAAGGGCTACCAGGAGAAAGCCTCTTCTTTCAAAAAGTGACATATCAGCACGGCTTAGGCTTGCAAAGTTTCATCTATACAAACCTGTCCTTGGAACAGATGAGACCAAAGTAGAGATGTTTGGCCATAATGCACTGCGCCATCTTTGAAGAAAATCAAGCACAGCATATCAGCACAGACATCTCACACTAACTCTAAAGCACGGTGGTGGAGGGTCGATGAATTAGGCTCATTTTACGAGCCCAAGGATCTGAGCATCTTGAGTTAACAATAAACTCCTGTGGATACCAACATATTGTAAAGTGAAATGTGAGGTCATATGCTGGACCACTTAAACTCAGACCTAATTGTGTCATGCAGCATTACAGTGATATCAATCACAGCAGCAACTCTTCAACACATTGGCTATGAAGGAATCAAGGTGTCACAATAGTCCAGTCAAAGTCCAGACCTAAACCTGACTGAAATGCTCTCTGATGCTGGGCCATAGAGAGCTGTGCAAAAACAAATGCGTGCTAACCTCTATGAATTGCAGCAAATTCCTACAGAAAACTATTACTTCAAGTTATAGCTCCTAAAGGCCTGTGGAAATGTTATTTTTTCACATGATTGTACATGACCACACAGTAATCTTTGTTTAAAAAAACTGATCTGTGCCGGTCTGTGCTTGCTTTAGTGAGCAGCTCTGTGCTTCAGAGCTACATGCCAGACGAACTTCAATAGGGAGCGGCGAGAAAATTGTGTCTGATCTGAAGGCTCACCGGACCGCCTTTAGCCAGGATCAGGACCGAGCCGAGAGCGAGTCAGACCCAGATCGAGACATTGAGCTCGAACTCTGTGCTCTAGACATGGAGGATTCGGACCAGCAGGAAATAAAGTCTCAGGTCAGTATGATTTTGTATATGCTGACGCTATATGTAGTTTCATGTTCTGAAGATTGATGTTGAATTTGCCCAACTCTGAACTGGGAACAGTCTCAGTAAAAAAACAAGTTGAGAAAAAAAAAGGTTTAATTATCGACCAGACCTCTTTATTCTTTGTCTTGTGTTACAATTTTGCCTCACAGGAGTCGTTAGACCTGGTCACCCCACAGTCTCAGGATGCTTCCCTTCTCCTTTCACCTCCGTGCTCCTCTACCCTCATCTCATCTCCTGCAGCAGAGCACCCACAAACAGAGTCAGAAAAGATGGATGCTCACCTGTTGAAAAAAATGGCCTTCAGGTGAATTACCATGGTAATCACTGTTCACAGGATTGCCCCGAGTCTTGAGTCATTTTTGACTTAAGTGACGCACAATCTCTCGCTGTCTTCCTGTCTCACATCTTTGCTCTCTCCTGTTTTGCAGGAAGTCTCTGTCTCCAGGAGGGTTAGTCTCAGGAGGTCTGGGCATTGCGAAGCTCCAGGTTGGACCCCCTCGACTGGGTGACACTTCTACCCGGGCTTGTCCCGAAACATCTGGGCCAGAGATGCTGCTCAATGGAAGCTAAGAGGACACAAAGTCAATCACTGACCTACAAAGAGCTACACCTGAGTTCCACATCCTGGTTGAATGGAAAACCTTTTAATTCCAGCCTTCATATATGTTGATCACATGCCTAACTGAAACTTGACAGATAATGGTCAACAGCCTGTGCTGTGCCACGCTGCAAGGTCAAGAGTTATACACATTTTACTAATTTTCCAACTTTGCTGTTTATGGCTAGGAAGGTAAATAGCCAGTTTTCCCATATAGTAGATGCTGAACTTGTCTGTGTTTGCCGTGCCAAATCTGGTCATATTTACAAGGAGGGTTGGAGAGCTCTTAAACCATCCGATCGGTCACATAGGATTGAATTCATTTGTTTCGTTTTTTTGGGGGGGTTTTCTTGTCGTTCTGCATAAGCTGTCAGATAAAGTTTATGGGTGACAATATGATAAGTGAATGTTCTTCAGTTTTACCAAGTTTACTGAGATCCTTTCTCCCAGTATAGCATTGAGGTACACAGGAAATTAAACAGAAGTCATTTGCAGCAGCAGACCCTCCATTTACTTACGCCTGTCCCAAACATTGAATGCTTTGACATTAATTCGCTGTGTCTAATTTGCGTTTAGTTTGTGCCTTGGAAAACATGCATTTCCAAAAGTTTCAAAGCAGGTGCTGGTTTATGGTCAAGGCCCACATAGCTTTTTAAAGGGTAAACAGTGGGATTATTTATCCCTTTTTTTAGGCGGACAAAATTTTTTCCATGTCTTATTAGGCTATAACAAATGCCTTCTCTGAGCAGCCTTATGTTTCATATTGACATTTCATTTTACGTCTCTGAAAAGATTAAGACATAGATGTTACTTATACTGAGACCAAAAATAGAAAGGGCACGGCACCCTTCTGAGAAAATAAAAAAAGAGCAGCAGAGGTCTTTAAAAAGTGCTGATAGTGAATGAAGCCTCTGTCTTTTGAGTCATATGATCTTTTAAACGTTGGGCTCTGGATTCCAGTCCTGTCATGGGATCAGAGGCACAAACATACAGACCTAAATTTTCAAAAGATCACTGATCACCTAAGGTCAGTTTTCTACTTTTTTTTTTTTTTAAATGAATGATACAATACTTTTAACATAAATGTATTTTATTTAGGAACAGACTTTGTAGTTCAAGCAGCAGCTAGAGAAAATGTAATGAATTTCTCTACAAGTCAGTTTTATCTCTTTGTGCCTGTAGTGGCACTAATCAGCTACTCTTATTAAGTTAAAGAGTTTCACGCCGTCATGTGACTGCCATTCACACAAACATGCAATACAGTGGCCTTTCTCTCCTTAGCGTGGTCTAAAACGAAGCATGTGCTCTACAGTCCCCCCGCTCACACACAAGCTCTGTTTGTTTACCATTTCAAAAGGTGTTAACGAACACAAATGTGATCTTAAAACGGAACTGCATTTTAAAAAGTCCACCGTCTATTATTTCCGGTCCCGTCATTTTTTGTTTGTTTGTGTATGTGTGTGTGTTGTGTAAACAATATTTACCAGCTGTGCGTGATGTTTAAAGGTCAAGCCTACCCAAGAGAGGGACGCCACTTCGTGCATCTGTTCATGCTATAAACCTTTGTTTTACTTTTTGAAAAGTTTTGGTTAGTTTCATTTAACTAACTTCTGTGAAGTTGTTTGTTTGGGTATTTCTGTATAGGTTTTTTGCCACTCTTTTGTTGTTAGTTGCGTGTTACATTGTGGTAGACTTGCTTTCCAATGTTTGTCTGTGTTACATTGCCGTGTGCTACTTCACCGTGGCTTTGTTTCAATATGGGTGATTTCCATACAGCCCTGCTGTGCCTCACTCCTTTTATAAATATGAGGCTTCTTGTCATGAGTGAATTTTTCTTAGTGACTTTAATAAATACAAAACATGAACCCATATATATATATATATATATATATATAGTTATGAGGTTTGTTTACATCCAATTCTAAATCTTGAGGACGAAAGCTAACTGATTTTCAAGTCTTTCAAGCTCCCTTAATTTCCTCTTATCCCCGCTACTGTACCTATTTAATAAACAAACTCAGAAACATAAGCATTAACATATTTTCTCTCATTATTTAATAAAAGTAAAAGGAGAGAGAAAGAGAGAGAAGGGAATTGGATAAATTGGTCTGAGCATTTCATTATAACTTGATGTGATACTCTTTAGAATTTAAAAAAAAATTATTTATTTATTTTTTGTTTTGTGTGACCGTGAAAGCCAAGGGCAGGCACAGGGATTTAGCTGCTTCCAGACGGTTATTAAATCAGCTCAGCTACCTATACTATCACTCTGCATCTGTTTACAGCTTCACCTTTGAAGTACAACATAATAATGTTAAGTGCCATGTTGGGTACAGTACAATCAGTCTCTGAAATCCGCGCCCCGTCCCACAGCTTTTAATTTTCCTTCCCCTGTAAACTGTGCGAGGAGGGAGAGGCTCTGTCAAGTCGAGGAGTGAGATACTTCTCTTGTAGTTGTGCTTTGTTCCATTAGAGGGGGCTAGCGGACCCATGTCTGTTTTGAATTGCTCAGGGAAGTCTTAATTTGCTCAGCTACTTTGGCTTTTTCTATATCCATCACTTTGAATATTATGTGGAAGTATTTGCCTGAATTTCACTTTGCTGATAACTGACCCTTTCACCCCAATCATGCGTGGGTTAAAGTGTTAGCACTGATTATGTTATTTGCCAATGTTTACTTTGCCAGTGTTTTCTTTGCCTCTCGGTATTAAGTATTGGCTTTGCTATTTGTGTTCACATGAGAAAGGGCTGGGCACTACTGTATGTAAAAACAGTATTGTGAGTATTGAAGTAATGTCAAAGTGATACTCCCTGTTTCCTATAAAGTGTCTGGAGCACTGCTGTAGTGGCTAACTGCACTGCACTGCACTGATTCTCCCATCGCACCCAGCGAGTGCCCCTTCCCACTTCCCTTCAACCCACCTCCTAAACCTTGGCCCTCCCTGCATCCTGCGTCATGCATGCGATCTAATCCCTCTTGTGATGGCGGAGGAGTAATGACAATTCTGTAGTTGTGATACAACACACCCAGCGCTGTAAGAGTTCTGCACATGCCCACTGTGTGGCCACGTCAAGTGCTGAAGTTTGCTTGCAGCATTTTAATTGCTTGCTCATGAAAATCAATTATTGTTTAATAGAGATTATATTATTATTGTTATAACCACATTTGGTTGTTGTGGTATTTTTTTTTTCTTGGTATATTCGAAGTCTGCTTCTTTTGGATATGAAAGTTTGCTAAAAATGTTTTTTATTAGAAAAAAAGTGTCGCATTATTCTATATTATATGGGGGGAAAGCCTGTTTGTTGATTGTGAAACATATGAACTGATGTTTTCTGACTATTCATGTCTGTATTAGACATTTTATTTGCAAATCTATTGTTCGATTGAAATGTAAACTATTAAGAGATGGTACACATCCGTCATTGTATACAGTCTGACACCATCATTAGATGGACTTTTAGTATAGACGCTCATTTATACAACCTGTGATAATCAGATATAGTTAAATGTTTAAGTCATTGGGGCAGTTGTGTAATGTTTCAGAATGAGGAAACTACAATCCTTAAGAGACGGTATATCCAAAAGGTCCCCAAGATGAATAATACTGTTATGTATTCCATTTATTTCCTTGGAAATATCACGTTGTGAAAGGTTTCCCTTTTACTAATTGTGCAGTAATGCAGGGCTGGAGTAAAGTCTAACCTATGGTGGTGATGATTTATGTGCTCTTAATAATGTATGAAACTGTTTGAGTTTTGTTTTACTGACTGATTCTTCTGGTGCATTTTCTGGCTTGTTCAAATGTATTACAATGACTTGCAGACAGCTTGGCCCAGCGGCATACTGCTTCGGGGTTGCACTGAGACGTTAAGTTATGAAAAAGAAGATTTTAGCACATGAAATTGCATGCTATAATAAACCAACAATAGTACTGTGTGTGTGATTCTTGTCTTGATTTGTCTTGTTATAGGATTAGATGCTGGAGCACATTTACAACAATTAACAACAAGAGGTAAAATCCACCAAAAAAGGTCGAATCCATAAAAGTCTGTATAATAACGGCCATCAGTCAAACAATACTGTTTGCTCTGGGTCTAAACAGAGCGCGTTGTGTGCGACGTCTTCTTTTGCGCATGCAGGCCGCTTTGAGGGTTCACACTAGAGCACGTTTGCTGTCACATTTTATTTGTAGTGTGAACGAGCAGACAAAAAAATTGGATTTGATCAAAAAATCGGAATTGAGCATTAAGACCTGCAGTGTGAACGTAGACAAAAAATGACCTCTAGATCCACCCATCCATCCAGGCTGGAGAACTGAGAGAAAGCCCACCCAGATATGAGGGGAACATTAAAAATCCACATACAAAGGCCACCAGGCTGGATTCAAACCTGAGACCTTTGCGCGCCAAGGTGACAATGCTAACTGCTACACCACTGTGCTAATGATTTTTCTTTTCAATGTGATTTCCTAGGATCTTTTTTTTAAGTAGAATATCACAATGATGCACCCACATTGCTTCAAAATGCAGCAGGATTATACATTCCTTCCTGCGTGATTGTTGCAGTGCATTTAAACTAATCAAATCAAAGTGGCTGTTAAAAGTGTGGACTTAAACATGAGGTGGTCAGTGTTATTGTGAAGCGTTCATTAGAAATCTCTTATTTCCTAACACGCTAAGTATGTGTGTGAGCCTGGTGTGATGTGGTGACCTGGTTTTCAATATATTTAAACGGAGTATTGTGCTTTGTGTTCCCACGTACGTCCCTTATGAAACAACAGGCTGGACAGGAAGGGCCAGCATGGCACCGACACAATGAGAACCGTAGGTGTGTTTCTCATAACTGACTGCAGCGGGACATAGTTGTTGTTTTTTTAAACCCAAGATATGTTGTAAACAGAAGGACGCCATCAAGACTGTTTTGTTTTGGTTTTTTTTTAATGAGGTGCAACACAAGGACCAGATATATTTAATAAGTGTATAAAACTGGTGATCAAAAAACAATTTCAAACTACGCAGTCCTTTTTTACAGATTTATTATGTGAAAACTGGAGCTGCATATGAATTTAAACAGAAACTTCTAATGGATAGTTTTTTGCAAAGTGAAAAAAAAGGTATTAGAGACTTTTTACCTAAGTAAAAGAATCATTTTTAAATAGCTTAGTAGTTCACAGGATGTATATTTAAATATATTTAAGTTCTTGAACAAAATGTACTCACGTGAAATGGCACTGTTAGAATCATATGTATGATATTTTTCGATTATTTTAGAAATATTTATGTGTATGTATCTTTAACATTGCAGCTGTTGATGATTTTAATTACAGATATATTGCTCTGTAACTTGATCTATAATTGCACTCAAAATATAAAGTGCATGGAAATAGTTAAATGAAGTATAACTACATAAAACCTGAGTAAAGTACTTGCGTTAATGGTCCTATCTGTGCTCTCATCCAGTGGTGGGATTGTACTCTAGTCCAATGCATTTGGGGTGCAGGCAACTAGAGAAGGAGAACCATATTTCAGAGGGACCATGTACAACCCCATTCATCCCTTCTATACATACCCCTGGGCACCATCTACACTGAAGTACTGCAAAATTCTGGGTTTACATTTGATTAACTTGAGTGTGAACTATGGAAACAAAGACTGAAGAGACTGAAGAAGTCACTTGGATGTGTTGAAACGTTTCTCCTACTGAAAACGCTACGTCCAGATGAACAGACTCAACTTTTGGAGATATGGAAATAAAGGTTCTTCTATGTAGAAGTGCATGAATTAATACAAGAGGAGAACATATCATTATTTTATGACTGTACCAACTATTGTACTAAGCCAAGGAGTTATATGGTCAGCATCAGCACCACATATGTTTACAACACTAAGAAAAGGAATGAGCACTCAAAGGTAAGAACTTGGGACTTCTGTGAAACCCCAGTCTGCCTTGTCATGAAAGAATGAAACATTAGTGTTTGAAGCTGCTGAAATCCAAGAATAAAGCAACTTCCTGTTGCTTTATTCTTGGATGTGTAGTTGCACACCCTGAATATTTCATGATTACACCTACTTTCCCACCTGACAGCAGCAACTGTATATGATATAGATATGAAATAGATAAGAAAATCTATGAAATAGATATGGAAACCTCCATCTATACCATAAAAACCTCCAGAGCCAAGCACAGACATTCACGCCACTTGCAACTGCATTTATTTTGAAAAATGGAGAACAGACTCCTACTTGGCCCAGTGTGTTTGACACTTCTCATTTAAGATGAGCCCTGACTTAAAAAACAAAACAAAACAGACTCGTGTTATCAGTCAAAGCTGCACACCAGCCAGCGCCTCCTTTCTGCATAGACTGAGGAGCAGTGACAGACGCATGCGCGGTGTGGTTGTCAGCGGGTTGGTTGGGCTTGTGTTTACAGCTCGGCTGGATGCTGTTGTCTGCTGATGTTATTTGGGAAGTGCAATGTTGTGCCAGCCGCCGTTGGAATAAAAATAAAAGTGGGAACCAAGGTAAGCTGTTTTGCACTTGCGCACGCATTTATACTCGAGGTTAAGCGTGACTGTCTCCCTGGTCAGGAGGAAATATACCTGTTTGTTGGTTGGAAGTGCCAGAGTAGCATGGCTAGCAGGCGTTAGCTATCCAGCCATAATACTGTAATGGCCTGTATGAACACTCTGTCCATCGCGGGGCCAGGCAGCGGATTTATCTTAAAGTTATTTGCAACCCATTTACCTAAGAGTTTGCATTGATTGTGTCGTGTTGACGGAAGTGTCTGGGGAAATGTTCACTGTGCGATTAAACATTTTGGTCTGACTTTGAGGCTATAACTGCTATAGCTGTATTAGCTAACGTTAGGCAGGTTGGTGAGGGCTAACTGAAGCAGTAAGTGAACACTGGAGCTAGCGAGCCTCGCACGTTTTAATCGAGAGAAATAGATTAGTGCCTGCTCAGGGACAGGTGTGGTTTAATAGGCTGACAGGTAGCAGTTTTGCCTATATCCACATGGAAATGAATGTGAATGCTAAGCATGCCAGATTGTGTGTAGATGTTGCAGTTGTCACTGTAGTGCAGAATATGGACATATATTAATACTTATCAATGCACTCATTATCAGATCGGATCGGTCCTTCCGTATGTTATGCAGTGCGATGGGGACCTCATGAATAAAAGGTCAAATAGCCAAGCATGTACTGAAGGCATATGTGATATTAATATACAAGTCAATAACTTCATAAGATCAGCAGCAGATATTAGAATTAGGCTGTCGGTGCTTTTAACGAGCCTTTCATGCTGTCATTGTTTCAAGAAGACGGAAACTTATAGTGCTATTACAAAATGCCCTGCAGGTATTTGCTGTACTGTTATTGTCACGTGCCAAGGGAATAACCAGGGAGGTTATGAAGTTCTTGCCTGGAATAACTTAATTATTATTATTTTTTAAATCATAGGCAGTCTGCCCTGCAGGACCCATTAACTACCAAAACACAACCTTGGAACAAAACTAGCTGTTTAAATACATTAATAACATTTCGCAAAAGGCCTCATTTTCCAGGGTAGTCCCCTTCAGCCTTTTAAACTAACTTTGCTGACCCTGATTTCAATATATCAGAATGAGTGTGTGCTGTGTTACAGCTTCCTCTCTGCTCTGTGTTTTACTGTTAACATTGCACATTGTCAGTTCTTTAATGAGACAAGTTGTGTCAACACAAACTGACCAGAAGTTATATGCCATATTCCTCTCACTTAATGCTGACGACTACTGTCTGTCTATCTGTCTGTGAGCTTGAACAGTTTCCATCAGTCAGCTGATTGTTCCTGTTGTATTTCCTGAAACTCCAGTATTACGAAGCAAAGCTCGTTGCATATAATGCATTCGGTGCATGCGCTCGATAAGAACAAAACAAAGCCAAAAAAAAAAGATTAGACTTTATGTAAATATTTGTTCTATTAACCATCAGCAGCTATATTAGAAGAGGAGGAAAGCCAGCACATTCACAGCTATACTTTATGGAAGCATTATGTTATGCATGTGTTTTCTTCCACATTACACAATAACATACATAATGCTGGTTTTACTACAGATGCTTATGCACAATAAAGTACTTTATTTGTCTGATAAACAGACCGCTATATGGAGATTGCTATGATTGTTAATTTATGTGGTGTTGATAATATCAGGAACCACTTCATTCATCACTTATGGTAATTAAAACTTATGTTATCTGTTTAACATTAATACTTTTGTGGCTTTAGGGACAACTTAAAAAGCTGCTGAGAGGCTAAGATTGGGCCGTGCCACTTCTCTGATATGTTATCTGGAAAATGTCTCACAGAGATTCTTTCTTTCCTGTATCAGCAAAGACTGTAAAGTGCACTTAACAATCAAAAAAGTAAACAGCGATCACAAAAAAGTGACCAATAAACAAACCCACTCCCCCAAATACAAACACATAAATGCCATGCACAGGGGGCGATCGTGGCTCAAGAGTTGGGCGTTCGCCTTGTAATCGGAAGGTTGCCGGTTCGAGCCCCGGCTTGGACAGTCTCGGTCGTTGTGTCCTTGGGCAAGACGCTTCACCCGTTGCCTACTGGTGGTGGTCAGAGGGCCCGGTGGCGCCAGTGTCCGGCAGCCTCGCCTCTGTCAGTGCGCCCCAGGGTGGCTGTGGCTACATTGTAGCTTGCCATCACCGGTGTGAGAATGTGTGTGTGAATTGGTGGATGACTGGATATGTAAAGCGCTTTGGGGTCCTTAGGGACTAGTAAAGCGCTATATAAATACAGACCATTTACCATGCACATAGCTCAGCTAATATAAGTATATGACATTACATTATATTATTATTAGGCCCTTACACCATAATAATAAATATCAACCACTAAAGACAATAAAGCAGAGTAAAGATGTCAAACTGAATAGATTTTAGC